CAAGACCGATATCAATTGGACAATCATCTTGAGCATGTTGTCTTTTGTTTTTTTCCTGTTCTCATGAGTTGTTCTTTCTCTTCATCCGAAGACTCCATTTCAGCCTCAGATACATCACCCTGGGGGATGAGGACAGCTATTGGCTCCTCTTTCTTCCCATAAAAGTTTGCGGCATTGAAAATCGCCATCTGTTCCGATAAAATCAAATCATATATCACTCATAAAACCATATCATTTCACACAGTACATATAAAAATTTGCAGAAACCAAACAAGTCCAACATTAATCCATTTTACACAAATTGGAGGCAGCGTGTTCCCCCAGGGGAAAGTATTCCTCCAAGTACCAATGAAGCCATATGGAATCATAATTTTGTTTGAGGTTGCGTTCCACATTTAGGAATTGCTGGCCAATACCTTTTGCTTCAAATCGCTTCTCTGGGGCTTACTGCAGGTAATTGAGAACAATTCAACAAACAATAAAAGTTATTCTCACCTATAACTCTTGACAATCGCAGAGGAAAGCCGGCTTCAAGCGTCCATTGCCTCAATCGAGTTTTCCCGCCGCTTCATAGATGGCGCCACTTCATTGATGTGCCCATGGTTGCCAGAAAACTTAGTTCAAAGGCTAAATATGGTATTAAACATGATTCCACTTGGAATCATTGGTCTTAAAAGCTTCTGCTGACTTTAAAACGAAGTGATTCCATATGGAATCACTGGTCCTGAAAGGGTTAATGGCTACAGGTCCAAGTTAGAACAAATTTCGTACGGTGTCCCACAAGGGTCTATTTTAGGTCCTCTCTTTTTTATTATTTATATTAATGATATCGTACGTATACCTAAAACTCCTGAAATAGTTTTGTATGCCGAAGACACTAGCTTATTTTTCTCTGGTCCATGTCTGCGTGATCTTGAAATTTCTGCTAATACATGGCTGAGCGAGTTATCGTCCTGGCTAGACTCCAATCAGCTTCAGTTAATGTTACAAAAACTAAATATATAATTTTTAAGCCGCGAAGTAAACCGGATGACTGCGAAATTATTTTAAAATTCCAAGACTCTCCGATAGAGCGTGTCACTATCTACAAATTTTTGGGAATTCTCTTCGAAGAAAATTTAAGCTGGACTCCACATGTAAATTAAATTCATGCAAGCATCTCTAGATATATTGGCATTTTATACAAAATAAGAACACTTGTCCCAGGCTGGTTAAGACGTCAGTTGTATTATTCACTAGTTCATTCCCACCTTCATTACTGTCTACTAGTCTGGGGTTCAACGACTAAGACAAATATTGATAGACTGTTTGTTTTGCAAAAAAGAGCAGTACGTTGTATTGAAAATCTTCAGCGCACCGACCACACAACGCCGTTTTTTCTAAAACATAGCTTCCTTAATATTAGTCAGTTATTCCAGCTTAAACTTTCAATCCACATTTTTAATGAGTTCAATCGTGACCAGTCCACTTTTTTTGACGCATTCCTTCCTAGAAATATACAATACAATCTTCGGTATGACTCTTATAGAATACCTTGGTCAAGGACGAATTACGGACATACTCAATTAGCGTACTTAATTCCTGATTTCTTAAATAAACATTCGGCCGTAAGAGAAATGATTCATGAGTGCGGCTCAAAGCATACCTTTAAAAGAAATATAAAACGGTACCTTCTATCATGTCCCATTGAATGAATGTTTTTAAAAAGTGTTTGTATCCAATGGTTGAGCTTCATTTATTCTAGTGCATCCTATGTCCCCGAAAATTATGACATGACTACTGTGTAAGTTGTGTTGTTTTGATCTTTATTTGTGGGCCGTTCTGTTTCCCCGTGGTTTCTGTATTTATATTACAACGTGTCGTACTATACGCTGAGCAATGTAAACTGGTGATAGGGCCAAGTCAGGCAGAATCCATCTGCCTTTTGCCTTGTCATCCGAGACCTTGTGTCTGAATAAAACTAATTAAAAAAAAAAAAGATCAGTCTGTGAGTCGAAAAGCTATAATTTTGTTAAATACAAGCGATATTAAAGACTAAAGCTCTTATTTTATGCCAGGAAGGTGTGAGCAAGCATCCTTAAATGGGCACTGACATTGTTCCTGAAAACGTCTACTTATGGTTATATATTAATCTACCTGCTCTAAACAATAAAAATGATTAAAAAAGAAAACTCGGGATACCATTGACATTAGATGACGCCGTCAGGCATGCGATCGCTTCCCGCGGGTGATACACACTCGCACAGTGTTGTCGCGTAGTGGCAAATTTCTCATATCTTGGGGAAAACCGAAACCCCGAAAAGTTTCCCTTTGTAAAACGTAAAAAAAAAGAAAACCAAAAACCTATAAAATGCAAGGAAAAATGTATAATGTTGTTTCTTTTTTGTTTTTATAATGGCAATTGTGAGTGCAACGTCCAACAAGCGGTAACACTGTTCCTGTTTTAAAAAGGACGCCAACCCCTTACAAAAAAATTTAACCAATTTCTACAGAATTTCAAGATATAATTATGGCTAGAGAGCATAGATTTCCTAGGAAGAATGTATCCAGTTTTTTAACCATTGTCTACAGATTATTGGCCGCTGCTTCCTACAGGTTTTGTGTAAACTTCAGTGTACAGATGATGTGGCGACTCTGTACAACAAACATACAGACATTCTAGCAACGCTCCTCTCCCATTTCTAGCGCCAATAAGAGAGTTTCTAACGAATTGCTGTAGACAAGGGAAAAACATTATTTTTAAATGTTTATCAGGGCCGTATCTTGTGACAATAAAATCCTGTGACTATGTAGTTGACTTCAAGCCTTCAGTGCGTATGGTCTATCAAGTTAGGTCTGTAGAAAATCTAGGAATATTGCGACGCAAAGTCTAACGACCGTTGACGACAGACGGTAGGATTTCTGACGACTGTGCTCTGTAGATTTCTGTTGACAGGAAATCTGTAGAAACCTTGTAGAAAAATGGCGATAAGTTAGGAAGTGGACAGGTATGTTAAAAAATCGTTAAGATGTCTACAGACTGGCTCACATTTTCTTTTATTTTTTTTTTGTAAGGGACAAGTCAACATCCACAGCCAAAGCATGTTTTCAAACCTGACAAAGTTGGCAAAAAATTTTCTCAGCTTGCCACGCTCAAATGGTGAAGCGGAACGAATTTTCAGCGTAGTTACTGATGTGAAAACGAAGAGGAACACGATGTCCACAGATGCCGCTAATAGGGAGTTTTAGTCGGTCATTTCGACACCTCCGATACCCCCGATAAGGATATACGATAACGATAACGATGCTTGCGCAGAGGTGCCGACGGAGCATCGGGTATCGTTATTGGAGTCATCCGAATGAACAACTGAAATTCTCTAATGCCGTGGCAGTTGTGCGCTCAGCGTCATCCAGCTTCGAGTAGAGTTGCTGCACTAACTTTAATGTAACAAAGAAACACGTCCAATGTTTTTACAAGGTATAAGCTGTTGGTGGTCACTCAAAAACAAAGAACAAAGAAAGAACAAAAGAAAAAAAAAACAAAGAACAAAGAAACACGTCCTATGTTTCTACAAGGTTAGACTGTTAGTGGGTTACTCAGGGTAAAATAAAATAAAATAATAAAAAGCAGAAAAGACGAAGAACCATACGACAGTCCTTATACCCTGCCGGAAAGCTCCCATCCTAGAAAAAAAAAGTTATTAATTTTGTATATTTTTGAAGTGTGTTTGTGTTTCTGTTATGAAAAGTGATATATCACATTTTATTTTTTTTTCGTTTTTAGTTTTCTATTTTAATTAAAATCTACACAAAGATTTTTCAAACATTAAGAACCCTGATGATAGCACATTTTATTAAATAAAAGATGCCCATGATCAATTGTGCACCTTTTAAGTAAAAAACATTCTAGGTTTTTTTTTTTTTTTTAAGTTTGGAGCATGGTTTGGAGATGCTTGTGTGCAATTAACTGCTTTTGTAAGTGAATATTACTTCGTGGGGTGAAAAAAGCAAAAATATTTTGCCCCTGAACGAGTGTAAAAGCAATGTAGCAGCAGTGCGGCAATTCATTGCACACACATTCGAAAATTTGTGGGCCGTTGGTGGCGGTGGAAAGCGATGAAGGTTTGCCCGTCTATCCCACCGCCGTTGGTCGGCACCCTTGCCTCGCGGGTAGCCATCGCTCGCGATTGGCTATCGCACGTTTAACGGTGCATTTTGCTTTCTGCGCCGAATCGAAGAAAACGGGGCGTGTCGCCGTCTTTGATCCCGTTTTTAATAGGGAAATCGGCTGATTTTCAAAATAAACTTTTTTTTTTTTAATGTTTAGAGCCGGTGGAGGGGGCTTATGGGACTTCAACCGCTCTCTTCGAATTATCCAGCCGACCCTAATATATACATACATCTTCACCTCCCCTCCCGCAAGTCATGGGAAGAAGAGGTCAAAATATTTAGGTAAGTGAAACCCTTACCCGAGGTTTTAAATTATAAGGTGCTACTTTTACTTGTCCGCGTCCTTTTTCCTGCAACCTTTTTTTTTTTTTAAGCCTTTGCTTTTTGTTTGGACAAAGTGCTCTCATATAGCGTGTCAAACTCGCGTGGCATCGCCGATGACAAGCCAAAAAATTTTCTCATTTGAGATCATCGCGTGATAGTTCTATCATAAGTTTGAGTTTTTGCAGATTGTGTCTTCTTAAAGCCACATTGATATCGGGAGCTCACTATTCCATTTCAACGCAATCGTTGAACCGAGTGTAAAAGGTACTAAAACTATAAAAAAAAGGATGTCATAACGTTTACACTTGACTGTTATGCCTGGTTCAGACACTGGGACGACAGACATGACAACGACAGAGTTGCCGAGACAAGCGTTCTACTTTAAAAGCCTGTCAAGCTTCCTGAAGCAATGGTGAGCCTCGGTTGTCCGGGTGTTTGTCTTTTGCTATCGTTACCGTTGCTGTAGACGTAACCGACGCAAATCTGTGAACCAGCCTTTGGAGTCACATTGTCGCAAAGCCACTTGCCTTGAAGACTGGAAGACTGACTCGCACCAGTGTCTGCTTCAGCTGTGCGTGGAGGCCCAGCAGCAGGTCGGGTTCCTTGGCGAAGGCCTCCCGGACCTTCTTCAGCGGTTTGCCCTCGTGAGGCAGCACGACCAGCAGGCTGAGGTTTGTCGAAAGCGTGGGCAGCTCGAGCACCTTGAAGCCGCGCTCCGGCAGCTCCAGGTAGCCGAACGAGCCCGTCCCTACCATGGTATCCACGGACTGTTCCCTCTGCTGTACGGCATGGAAGGCCCTCTGCACCCTGGAGTCCGGGAAAAGTCCCTCGAAGTGGGTCAGGTTGAGGGTGACGACGGCGGCGGACAGGAATCTGGCTGTGGCGTCCAGCTTGTACGCATCCTCCTGGAGCAGACTCGTGATGACCTAGAGCAGAGGTACGGAAGCGTTTTAGACGCGCGACCTTTAAAATACATGGACGCCGACCGCCTCCTACGATAGTATACTTAGTGCACTTGGCAACGACTAGACAGTTTTTGAAACCCCCCCCCCCCCCCCCCCCCCCCCGACTCCCAGACGTCGTATCGCGACCCACACTCTGCGCCTCTTTATAGAAGAGGACAGCGCCAAGTTGTACCTCGAGCACCGTCACCTGGAGCGGGTCTCTTCTATGAGGGTTCTTGAAAGTTACGGGATATATTATTTTTCTTTATGCCTTTGATTGCGCCCAAAAGCAGCCGTAGATTAAAGGGGTCGTGCAACATTTGTCAGACTTCGGCAAATTAATAGCGGTAATTGGTCTGTGGCACTTATATAATTATTAATAGTAGTAATAGTAGTAGTAAACAATTTTTCCCCCAAGCATGAGTTAATGACTGAGCGGGAGACTCCTAAGGTCGCCCCACCAGACACCCCTCAGACGGCGGCCTAAACCCCCTGGGTCCTGGCGGCGTCTTCGGTCAGCTGGACTAGTTTGTTCCGCACCGAGGGGTCGGCGCAGAGGAGTAGGGCTTCCCAGCTCTCCTGGTTGTCGATCTTCTCTAGTATAGGGGTGGGACTTGCAGTCAATCCTGCTGCACTCCCACACCATGTGTCGGAGGTTGACGTTGCCGCCGCAGAGCTTGCAGTTTGGCTTGTACTTGTCACGGTACCATTTATTAAGTAGGGAGGGGTTCAGAAAGGAGCCCGTCTGGAGGCGGCGCCGTGCCACCGACGTCCTCTTGTCTAGCGAGGGGTGTGCGGATGAATAGCGCAACCTCGCGCCAGCGTATACATCCCACATTCGCGGTATGCAGTCCCCATTTCATTAGAGTGATGCCCTCCAAAGACGTGTCGTCCCTGTGGTACGTGTCGATTATATTCTGGACCAGTATCCATATATATTGTCTAAATTACTTTAGCTAAAAGAAAGTCACTTATTTTTCACTAGTCTTTCAAACACGAGAAATTGTTTCTGCAATCCGCCCAATCACTGAGAACGGTAGAAAGAAAGAAATCACTGTAAATTTAATTATCATAAAGTGCAGTTTCATTCAAATACTTTTTCTTGGTATAAACAGTGTCATACTAGAACAAAATTAGCTTGATTTGTTTGGTAATTGAAAAAAGCTTTAATTAATGTACAAAAATAAAAAGAACTCCGAAGTTAATGAGAAACCCCAAAGGACACAACTCTTTCCCGTCCAATTGTTTTCTATCGCCTTTGTGCAGATGGTATCACTGTTACCAGTACCTCTGAGGCCAGTTCCAAACAAAGTATTAAAGGACTCAGCTACACCAAAAGTGAAAAAAAAAACGACATGTAATTATGGTTTTTTAACTCGAGCACATTTCGCGGGCTGTTCAACGACAGTGACTTTGTCTTTTGGATTTAAAGTGCGCAAGGCGGTGGCATATCTCATAAAAGAGAGTGGCAAATTCGTTTAAAACAAAAATGTAAGACATCACCGTTACATGTGCAGTTATTTGTGGCTCTCTTTCTCAGTGAATATTTGTCGGTCTGAGTGCGTGTGTGCGCACGCGTACAAGTTTTTGTTTATTTCCTTCGCATTCTGATATGCGTGCATAAGATGCCACGTTTAATTCCTGCGAGAAGTGGAAGATATAAAAAAAGGTATACTCTCAAGGAGAGTGAAAAACGTCACCATTATTTTCAAGGGGCGTCAAAAAACCGTTTCTGTCGACCGCCTGAAGCCGGCTCACCTGGAATATCTCCCCAATGCAAATTATACTACTGATACTCATACCGTGAACGCTCGACCTACCACTAACCCCTGCGGTTTCCGGGCAAGACGAATTCTTGGAACAAGTACGATTAAACCTAATATTTTGCCGAACAGCTTCAACCGACACGAACCCTCCCGACTTTAACCAAACCGCGTCTACCCCTGCCCTACCCCCTATTGCCCCCCTCACCCTCCACCCACGCACAATCCACCGCAAACAAGCACCTCGGAAAGTATCATGGTATCGAATACTCACATACATGTGACGCAAATATAGATAAGATTATTTACTGTTTAGGTGCGGCAAAGGGAACAGAGGGGAGGACTTGTAAGCATGGACGGATTGCTCGCCCATTTGAGTAAAAACGAACTTAATCATGAGCGCGGCGGCAGAGCAGGGTCAACAATTCCGACAATCAGACTCATCGCGGATCCTGTTGAACTCAGTAAATAATGTACATAAATACGTAGTGCCAAGTCTTTGCTTTTTACAAAACGCTGAAAGTTATCGAAAGCACTCTCCTTATATCAGTCTGTGAAAGGTTTCACCATTCCCATATCATGTGACGTGATTGATGAGGTGTCTTCCTGTATTAGGGGACTTACTGACCACTAAGTCTCTCCTGTAGAGAGGCTTTAGTGGTACGTGGATTCCAATTGCCGCGCACAGCCCTTGCATCCTGTCATGTTGGCTTGAAGCCGGCTTGAGTGCGAGATTCGATTTCTCCATTGAAAGCATAAAACTGGCTCAAAGCGTACATGCAGCGAGCCGCTACCACCGTTCTTGGACTTACCTTAGCCGTCGCCCTGCAACACCAGGCGTTGACTGCCGTCAAGGCAGCCCTCCGGTCCAGAAAGTTGACCAGGACGACATCGGCACCGTAGTAGGCATCTAGGGACTCTCGGTAAGGTCCGGTCACGTCGAAGTCCCTCTGCACGAAGGCGGCTGCCTCAACGCGGGCATCGCTGATCGGGAGGCGGGAGAGCCGTAGCAAAGCGTGTGCCAGGACGTAGCGCACGTCAGCGTCCTTGAGCAGCTCCCAGCGGAGCGTCTCTAGGAGCCTGTCGATGGTCTTGGACACCGAGCCCTCAAGCACGAGCGCCGTCGACAAGGCCAGGGCCAGCGGAGACAGCAGCACGTTGCTTTCGTTGCCGTCTTTCTGAGCATGCGAGCTTCAGGACAATATAGGAAGATCGTGACGTCATGGTGCCGTACCAATAGTCATTCCTACTTGTTTTTGTGAAAAGATAAATTGGTAGTGCGAAATAAATGCCGCAGAAGGTACGTACGCAGCAGTGATTAAGGTCCTTAACAATGACCGCGGACGTGACGTTAATGCGAGCCATGTATATGCCAGCGTTACTAGATTAGATCAGTTACGGAATTTCCCATAGATACTGCTTGCATGAGCTGTATTGTCTTGCGTGCTAGTTTTCATAATATAATTGGGAAAAGCCTGTTTTCAGGTTGACGGAATACGTGGCGCCACTGTCATTGTGCATGTTTTGCTCCCATCAAGTGTCTCAGATGAATGAAGATATTCCCAAGTTCCAACACCCGCCTAGGACACCTGTACCAGTATCTCTGCGGTATCTTACATGGCTGTCAGCTGGTGATCGGCCACCTGCAGCGTGAGTGCAAGGGCTCCCCGGTAGAGGGCGTCTCTGGCTGCGATGCTGAACACTGGTTGGCTCCTGGCGGCGGCCGCAACCAATGGCGTCAGGGCAAGAAAGATGACGCCACCTTGGGTAAAACATTGGAGAAACTCACTCATTTTCATCGCAGACTCTGAAAGGAAGATTTCGCATCGTCCACCGTTCACGTTTTCTGATCTTTCTGCGCTTTCGATGTTTCTCAGCTTACCTTGCCCAAGAAATCCCCCCATTTCAAGCCATCTTCTCACCGGGCTTGCAAAGAGCCACCAGATCCACCGGGCTGTCTCCAAGTTCACTCTTCTTCTTTTTCTCCCTCCGAGTCAATCCCGTTTGGTTGTGGTCAGGGCAGGATTAAGGTACGGGCTAAGGGGGCTGTAGCCCAGGGCCCCAGGCTGCCAGAGGGCCCCGTGCTGGCCCCTAGAAATTAAAAGAAGAGGCCTTAGTTCAAATCAACTTAATTCTAAAGATTTTTTCTTTAATTTTAACGATGAAACAGGGATGCCATAAAGTTCTCTTCTTTAGACGAGCTGGCGTTTGTGAGCTCGTTGTAAAAGACTGTGCTAGAGCAACAAAATGTAAGCTTTGCTTCCCATCCTCCTTGTGGGAGGGAGCAAAGCTGTCGACGCTGGCGGTCCCGTTGAAGTCTTCTAATTGAAGCCAGACGAAAGGACGGCCACGGAATTCTCTATTGTACTGAGGCGCCCTCGACGCGTTTTAAGGACGATGGTGGGTTGGGACTTGGGAGGCAATCAAGTTTTGCCGAAGGCTACACGAGTAACATACATGCTACACATTATGTTTTGTTAAATTTTGGACTTTTAGCGTATTTTTACATAAAAATTTTCCTAGAAAAAAAAAAAAAAAAAGATATCGGTGAACCTTTTGAAGCCATCCTCCTAACCACTAACAGGTGTTTCAAGGAGATGCCCGCCAAATGTTCTAGAAAGGCAGTGACTGCAAGCAACTGCTCTGGAGCCTGTGTCTGATCTGCCAGTACGAGACAACATTTTTCCTACCATCGAGTGATATGATCGCTGCAATTTTTATACGAGCCGCTGAGGTATGACCTCTTATTCTTAGCTTAGAGCAATACGTCCGAATACTAAAGAAAGTTATTTATAACTACAAATAGAAGAAGCAAGACCACTTCCAAAACTAATTTGCTCAAATCCCTGTGAGCGGGCCTAAGTGACAGTCGTTGATATATATTACAGTCGGATACAGTCTCAGTTATTTCTTGTGTTATTTGAATGCAGAAGTTTGTTAGTTTGAAACACGAGAGTTTCGTTATTACAAGAGGGTGGACGAAACGGTTTGAGCCCTAAATACTTTAACCATCAAGATTACTTTGTTGTCTGTGTTGCATTATTGTTCAGGTCAGTAATTAATTAAAGAAAGGCTATAGTTAGACAAGCTAGAAAGACTGGAATAAAAACATTATATTCTCGGAACAGTTTTCGAGTTGACACTCGCGAGGCATGACTTTAGGGGCAGCGAATTTTTTTTTTTCTTTCTTGTTATAGTAATTTTGCGAGTATCCTTTCGGTTACTGTCTAATGCAATTTGTGTCCTAGTAATTATGCCAGTGAACATCAAGGTAGTCATCTAGCTGTGACATCCGTCTAACTCAACATCATGATGAATTTATGTAAGTCGGCAGTGAGACGTACTGTATAAAGAAGGTTGTAGACCCGGCCCAACAAGCTCATGGGAACGCGGGGCCATTATTTCCAATTTTTCAACGGAAGTTTACGAGGCCCTGCTCTTTGAGCTCGACACTTCTTAACATTTTCTCCAATCGTTCATTACTTTGCGTTTTGTACCTCTTAGTGAGTGATTTACTATTTCCGAAAAAACCTCTAATCCACAATCGCACCTGCTTCATTTCCACCCAGTGACATCTGAATTTCCCGAAGTAAAATCCGAGATTTTGCATCGGTAGATCCAAAAATCGACTCTACTGATACAGAAACCCCCTTAGATGTATCATAAAATGAACGATATTTGTATTTTATCAGGTGGTTAAATACACATATTGCCTCCATTGTCGTTGCCATCGCCATCATAGTCAGTATTATCACCATTATTAGGGGCCTCATGAAGAGCCTTAGCCCAGGGCCCCGAAATTTCCTAATGCGGCCCTGGTTGTGGTGTTAGTGCACCACAGCTCGGAGCCCGTGTAGCGAAAGCTCGCACGGCAGAAAAAAAGGATCTTGGGTTCAATCCCCACCCTTGCCCGTTTCGTTCTAGGTGAGCATCGTACCGGCGTGCGGTCGTGTATCACTACTGCGTGACGTACATTAAATACCCCAGGCTAGCGGTTGTACTGCACTGGCTAAATTACTCATCTACAGTGGGTAGCAATGCCGTCATACTATCGCAGACTAAACTTCTGCTGTCTGAACAAATAACGACAAATGTGTTTGTTTTTGTTTGTTTCCATCCTGGGTTCAATTCCCACCCTTGCCAGTTTTGATCTGAATGAACATCGTACCGGCGTGCAGTTGTGTATCACTACTGCATGATCCATTTTAAAAACCCTAGGCTAGCAGTCGTACTGCAAAGGCGACATTTCTAATCTACAGCGTCTAACAAAGTCGTCATACTATGACAGACTAAATCCCTGCTGTCTGAACAACTAACGACAATTTCTTTTCGTTCGTTTTGATCTTGCGTTTAATCCCCACCCTTGCCAGTTTTGATATGAGTGAACATTGTACCGGCGTGCGGTTCTATATCACTACTGTGTAATGCATGCTAAAAATCCCAGGCAAGCAGTCGTTCTGCACTGACTAAATTTATAATCTACAGCGTCTAACAATGTCGCCATACTATGGCAAACTAAACTCCTTCCGTCTATACAAATAAAGACAAATTTGTTTGTTTTTCTTCGTTTTGATCCTGGGTTAAATCCCCACCCTGGCCAGCTTTGATTTGAATGAACGCTGTACCGGAGTGGGTTTGTGTATCGCTACTGCGCAATGCATGTTAACAAACCCGGGCTAGCAGTCGTACTACAAGACTAAATTTCTAATCTACACCGTTTAACAATGTCCCCAAAAGAACTTTGGCAGTCTACCTTCACGTTCTTTAAGCAACTAACGACAAATGGGACTTCCGCTTTGAATATCCTTGTCATTACAAGTGCGAACATCGCGTGTTTATGCTGGAAGACGTGTAAAAAAACAAAACGCATCTCCACGTGGTGAATGATGCTGATTGGGGCGAAGCTCTGCTGGTGCTTGTCTGCGTAGACGCTGATCCGCAGCATGCCGAGCCTTTCGTTCGTTTTCATCCATGTCACGCTGCGGTCAAACGCTCAAATGCGTATAAAACCACATTTCATACCACACATTCTCTTTCTGACATGGATGGAAATGAACGAAAGGCTCGGCATGCTGCGGCTCAGCGTCTACGCAGACAAGCACCACCAGAGCGATGAAAATAATCCCTGGAGAAGGGGAACAAGGGGGACAAAGGACAAACATTGTCCTTTGTCCCCCTTGTTCCCCTTCTCCAGGGATTATTTTCATCATTTTTGTCCAGCTCGCTTGCACCTTTGCATTTAATTGCATTATAATCACCACCAGAGCGTCGCCTCAATCAACATCATTCACCGCGTGGAGATGCGGTAGTTTTTTTGTTTTTTTTTGCCCTACACGAGCGCGTGAGCTCACGAGCAGGAGCACGTGCACCCGACGGCGGACGGACATACGGACATGGCTAGCCACACGAAGGAGAACTCCGCGGACGGATGTCGTGACGTCAACAACCCGGGAAACGCCGTCCCCGGCTCCGCCGCGTGCACTTGCGGAGCTTTCGTGCTGTCAGCACAAAGCCTCCGCGCCTCCGCCACGGAGGAGAACGCGCCGCGAGACGTCAAAAAGGAATGACGTATGTCTCACGTGATGCTCGATCCGCGGAGGAAAGTGGAGGATTTCTCCTTCTTGTGGATACCCCACACGAAGGAGAAATCCTCCACTTTCCTCCGCGGATCGAGCATCACGTGAGACATACGTCATTCCTTTTTGACGTCTCGCGGCGCGTTCTCCTCCGTGGCGGAGGCGCGGAGGCTTTGTGCTGACAGCACGAAAGCTCCGCAAGTGCACGCGGCGGAGCCGGGGACGGCGTTTCCCGGGTTGTTGACGTCACGACATCCGTCCGCGGAGTTCTCCTTCGTGTTGTGGGAGCCACTGGTTTCCCTCCCCCGAGAAGGCGTAAGCCGCGGACGTGCCGGCCGGAGTTGCCTGGCTTCGAGCTGGCTCGTCCCGTATCGTGTTGGAGAGGGTGCGCCACCTTGCTGGCCTACTCTCTCGCACTCCTCCACGCGTCTCCCCGATTTCGGGGGAACAGCGACATCGCGCGGGGGAGAGTCGGGCCTGCCCTCCGAGTGGACGGCCGTGTGGTCGAGGAGTCCTGGATCGGACTCCGGGCGACGGGTCGAGTCGCGGCGTGAGCATCGTCCGACCGTCGATGACTCCACGCTAGCGATTCCCCGGGCTCTGACAGTCGGCGTCCCCACTACCTGTGGACGTCCGTCTGCCGAGAGCCCTGGCCCCGAACGCCTGCGACGACGGGTAGCGGCGTGAGCTCGTCCGACCGGCGATGACTCCGCTCGCCATTACCCCTTTGGCTCTCAGGTCGGCGGGCGATGCGGGCACACTGTGCCCGCGGCGGCTCGCTTGACCGCAGTGTCTTGTTGGGGACCCCTGGTACTCAATAAACGCTGTTGGATACCGGGATCATCGTTGTTGGCATGGCGTTGGCCGAACCCGGCGCGGCGACCGCCCTCGCTGGTAGCCGTCGGCCGCGCGGTGGGACGGGTAGCGGATTTCCCCTTTGAGCACCGGACCGATCTCCGGACGTGAAAGGTGCGTAATCTCCCTTCCTTACGTAATTCCCACAAAATGGCGCCCAACGTGGGGCCATGGCACTATTGTCGTGGCACTGCTCCGCCGCGCCATGCCAAGATGGCGGAGCCTCTCTTGGGGAGGCCGGCTCCCTTTGTGAGCCGCCATGATGCGAATCCCATCGGTGCTTGGATTTGGGAACCACGTCCAAGAGCCATCCCGGAAACCTGAGTGAGTCACGATTTGTTTATTCTTTTTTCGTGTCTTGCCGCAGGAGACGCTTTATCGTACCTGTCCCCTCTGGTGATGGGCGTCGCTAGCAACAGTCCCCCCACTGCCTGACAGTTGCCAACTCCGCTGCCAACCCCCACCTAGTTAGA